GGTCAAAACTGAACAGGGACTAAAAATAAAACTGGCCTGCATGGGTGGTATAATCCACATTGGCTTTATTTCCCCATAGTTTTTACAAATGGACAAAACAACACAAAATGCTCAAAATAGTGGGAAAAACTGCCACGATTCATTCTAGACACACCCAGAGTCATATAAATAATGGTCCTAGAACATATAATTATTTGTGATACACAAAGCTACAGTGTAAATTCTAACATGCCATAGATGAAATAACACTTTTTTTTCAATTTTTATTTCTATGCAAAGAACTTCAAAGGTGCAATCATAATAAACACATTTCTTTAAAAAATTGGTGAACAGTACCAAATTTGTAGGAGACAGTGATACTCATAGTGAACCAGTGCAGAAGGCAGACAATTATACTGGTTTTACTTTTTGCTAAATGGACTTTCTCCTAAATCAAATTCTCTATTATCATAATGCCTATCATTTTTAATAGTTTGTTTTCCCATCTGAGAATGGGATTAAAGCTAATATTCAAAAAATACTGATTTAAGATCAATTTTTACTATTCATATTCTGGGGCAATACTCATAAGATAACAGTGCCTTGCAGTGCAATATAAATTAACCATGAATATCCAATCACAATAATGTATTCATGGAACTGGAATAGGAATAGTACTGAGCACCAATGATAAATTTAAATCAAAGAAAGCTTAGAAAGAACTCCCATGTGCTGAGAGAGTATTGGAGACACATTCAAATTAATTCAAAATTTAAGATTTACTTTTCAAACGAGAAGCTTGGCAACTAATATTTGTCAGCTATTTGAGACGCATAACATGAAAACAATGTGATTCACATTATCATAATTTATAATACATACAGAAAATACATTTGATTTTTCATCTGTGGTTTTCAGTCTAATTAATTCCAGGGCACCTCTGTGATGAATCAATTTAAATCTGATTTTTTTAGATATCAGAAATGGGCTAATAATAGATAATCAAGATGCATGTTTTTCAACATTAAACTAATCATGTCTGTGGATTACTAGAATGAACCAAATGAATTATTATACAAATTTAGCAATTATTATGCATAGATTAGGTCTATATATTGTTTCAGGGCACACATGTAAAAAGTTTCATTATAATGTGATAATTAATCACATCAAACTAAATTGTGGAAAGCTGAAAAGTAAATTATTATGCAAATTATGTGTTAGAGTATAAGATTCATTGAATTAAGATAAGTACTGTCAAATATCATCTATGAAGTTTCATTGAAATGTGATTAAAACCAAAATTATGCAAATTAGGTAATTAATATGAAGTGATTTTAACCCAGAACTGAGCAGGTCTGTGCATTGTTCTAGAGCATCTATGTACCAAGTTTCA